AAGTCTCAAGAAGTCACCCCCCCCCCCCCCCAAGTGCACCGCCAGCCCTCCGTCGGATCCGCCGAGGAACCCAACTTAGCCGAGCGGAACAAAATCGAACTTTCACCTCATAATGACCACAGCATTCCTGCCCCGCGCTTGCTTGACTGTTGCACTGGCGGCAGGTGTCAGGCGCGGCTGTGGGACGACAATCAGCCGCCACATATGTAAAAAAGGTCGCCATTTAGGAGGAAGGACGACTGTTATAAGGACCATGGGGGTCGGGGCTTCGTGCAGGAGCGGCGGAGGAGAGGAAGGTGGGTGAACGTCCCTCTCTCTCTCTCTTTTTTTCGTCTTTCTCCTGCTTTTTACTCTCTTTACAGGTGTTTTTTTGTGGTGGAGTGTTCATTAAGGGTTATAGGCATCGCATGTTTACTTATTTGTGACGATAGACTTGTTTTTTTATGTAATTTTTGTGTTTATTACCCGGTGTTGTGGGACGTCTGAGCTCATTAAATCTCTCCACGACCTCATAGCAAGTCACGTCCATAAGCTTTTTTTTTTCTCTACCACGCCCGTGCCTTTTTGGTATGATTTTCTTTCTCAAATTAGATCCAGTTCAGAGTTCATTATCATTGTTAAATCAAACCTTAATCTATGTCAGTGTAAAAGAAACATAATATCATAATATGATGTATGTCCACCAGCCAGTGTTGTTCATTATAATTATATAATCTTTTTGAAGAGGTTTATTGTTGGGTGAAGACTTATGTGTAATGATAGGTTTTTTATATATTTTATAGGTGAATGTTAAAATGGTAGACCATACTGATCCTTGTATAGTAACTTGCCTTTTTGATGCTTATGTTTGCTTAAACTTTAATTGCAGTTTAAATATAATTAAACAATATAATTATGGAGGAAAATCCCATTTCGAAAGTTACTTCTCGTGACTCATTTAAGTTTATTTAAAATCTATTTGGAGGTAAATCAACGCCCTTTTCTTTTTTTTCTTTTATATATACACATGCATATATATACACATGCATTTATATACACATGCATATATATTACACATGCATATATATTACACATGCATATATATACACATGCATATATATACACATGCATATATATACACATGCATATATATACACATGCATATATATACACATGCATATATATACACATGCATATATATTACACATGCATATATATACACATGCATATATATTACACATGCATATATATACACATGCATATATATACACATGCATATATATACACATGCATATATATTACACATGCATATATATACACATGCATATATATACACATGCATATATATACACATGCATATATATACACATGCATATATATACACATGCATATATATACACATGCATATATATACACATGCATATATATTACACATGCATATATATTACACATGCATATATATTACACATGCATATATATACACATGCATATATATACACATGCATATATATTACACATGCATATATATTACACATGCATATATATACACATGCATATATATTACACATGCATATATATACACATGCATATATATTACACATGCATATATATTACACATGCATATATATTACACATGCATATATATTACACATGCATATATATACACATGCATATATATTACACATGCATATATATTACACATGCATATATATACACATGCATATATATTACACATGCATATATATTACACATGCATATATATTACACATGCATATATATTACACATGCATATATATTACACATGCATATATATTACACATGCATATATATACACATTCATATATATTACACATGCATATATATTACACATGCATATATATACACATGCATATATATACACATACATATATACACATACACATATACACATGCATTTATATACACATGCATATATATTACACATGCATATATATTACACATGCATATATATTACACATGCATATATATTACACATGCATATATATACACATGCATATATATACACATGCATATATATACACATGCATATATATACACATGCATATATATTACACATGCATATATATTACACATGCATATATATTACACATGCATATATATTACACATGCATATATATT